ACATTTTTGAAAATAATTCAATTAAATCAATAATACATGTTGTAAATAACAATATTTTATAAGAGACTGTGAAAATTTATTAATAATGTGTTTAGCTAATATAATTTAGATATACTTTTATACTAGTAAAAGCTGTTTAATTAATCGTGCAACTAATGGATACTCATTCATATATAATAAGAAAATTCTTATTTATATATATTAATAAATCTTAATATATATAAATGAATGAGTATACATTAGTTGCTTTTACTAGTATAAAAGTATATCTAAATTATATTAGTTAAACACAATATTAATAAATCTTCACAGTCTCTTATAAAATATTGTCATTTACCACATGTATTATTGATTTAATTGAATTGTTTTCTAAAATGTTAGTGTTATCTGAAATAAGTTTCAGGGACGAGGTGATTTTATTGATATTTCCATATGACTGTATGGCTTTTTAGATGGATCAAAAAAGACATTTTGATAACTGCTTAGTCTCTTACTATCTCCAAAACATCCAATTGCACTTCAAAGTTTTCAGGAACCAGTTACATCATTATTTCAATATAAGTCCCATAATAATATGGGATATTCCATTTGATGTACACTCATTACTTCAGATAACATTAACATTTTTGAAAATAATTCTTTTACCACAATCAAAGTTATAAGTTTTACCTAATATTTTTTAMTATCACTTTTTTAATTTTATATTCCCGAGCAAAATATTATTCTGAGTATTTTTATGAAAATCGGAGTACTCCAAATCTATTATACTTTGAAAAGAAATTAAAGCTGCATACCTATCTTTAAAACGTAAATTGTGTTTTAAATTTTCAACTTCTMAAAATTGTGTAAAACATATTTTCAAAAACGTTTATAATTTTAGCAATATCTGATGAGTGATTTACTGTAAATAGGATTGTTTGGTTTATTTTAATTTTTAAATATTAACAAATAAAAATGTCTGATGAAATATTGATTAAATCAAAATATATTATAATGTTTAGTAATGTTCTCAAAGAAAAAGAAAAAACCTCAAATATCTTCACCTACAAATTTTGAACACAGAGTACATACTGGCTTCGATAAACGTGAAGGTAAATTTATAGGTTTGCCTTTACAATGGGCAAGCATAGTTGGTAATAATCAAATACTGAAGAGTACCAATAGACCATTACCTCTTGTTGATCCATCAGAAATCACCCCTACTGAAATATTGGATTTAAAGGTAAATATATACAATTTTACATTTACCACTTTCTTATTGATTTTTCACTGATGTTTCTTTTTATGTGTTCAAAAAAAAAAAAAATGCACCAATCTTAAATATTAAGTGCTGTTTATGGTAGAAAATAGAAACTAYTTTGGGTTTAGTTGAGAATCGCTCAATAATATCTTCTTATTCGATGCATATATTATAGTAACCTACTCTATGACAAGGCGTTTTTGAAACCTACTATATACCAAAGCGATTTTTTATTTTTTATTATCTAARTATAAATATTAGTAAAGTAGTAATGCACAAAAATATTTTAAAAATTAACGTTTCTCTCAAAATTCTAAGCTTTTGATATGTTTTGTATTGTATGTTATACAAAATATTAAGTATAACATTTTGTTATATTTCTTTTAGACTATTGTGCGTGGTGAAAATAATCCAAAAATCAATTATAATCCTGTTAACATTCGAAATAATGAAACAGCTGGACTTCCAAAAACATCTAATGTTGCACGTTCAAACTCGTTGCGTTCCTCCAGTCCACCACGTATTCGAAGGCAACATCCAAATGTACCACCACCATTGCCAGAAAATGAAGTGTTAGTAATGAACCAGAGTTTGGTAACACAAAATTTACCACAATATCCAACACCTAACAATACTCAAACAAAACTTGATTACAGCAATAAATTTGTAAGTTATAAAACAAGTTCTGTGATTATTTAATTTTATTATGACTATAGCTTTTATAATTTTTCCATACAGATAAAACCAGGAGGTTCAGAATGGTCTGGTCAAGAAACACCAGTATCACGAATAAATCAGAACAATACTCCTACTAGCCAAACAATAATATCTGATCAAAGTGGATCACATTCATATCATCCTGTGCAAAATGGAAATATTCCAACAATATTTTCTAATGGCTCAGTAGTTGACTCACCATCTGGAAGTCAAACATCACAAGCCAATACTCCCGTGCCACCAAATCGTACCCATCCTGTTATTAACAATGCCCAAATTGTTAGTACAAACAAGGTAAATCTTAGAATTTCTTTTGTAAGTTAGATTCTTTACCAATGCAATTTTAATTCTAGGGCATAACTCAAAGTCATACTCGAAATCAGGATCAGAACCAAATTATTAAACCAACCACAAATGGTATATCAACAGCTAGTACAATGTCAATTCCTAGTATAGCCACAAAACAACATCATGAGCAACAACGCATTACACATGAACAAGTATTTAATTTTTTTTTCAAAATTTAATTTTTGTAAAACAATAATACTCAAAATTGACTGTGTATTTTAGTTTAGGGCTGCTCTTCAACTTGTTGTTAGTCCAGGAGATCCTCGCGAAAATTTGGATAGTTTTAAAAAAATTGGTGAAGGGTCAACAGGTACTGTTTGCATAGCTACAGATCGAATAACCGGTCGTAAAGTGGCTGTAAAAAAAATGGACTTAAGGAAGCAACAGCGTAGAGAATTGTTGTTCAATGAAGTTGTCATAATGCGAGATTATCACCATGCTAACATTGTTGATATGTATGACAGTTTTTTGGTTGGTGATGAATTATGGGTTGTAATGGAATATTTAGAAGGCGGAGCACTAACTGATATGGTAACACACACTAGAATGGATGAAGAACAGATTGCTACTGTTTGCAAGCAGTGCTTGAAAGCATTGGCATATTTGCATTCACAGGGGGTAATACACAGAGATATAAAAAGTGATTCAATTCTTTTGACTACTGATGGAMGAGTAATTATTTTTAACTACTATCAAATTTAATATATTGTAAAATGTAAATATATATTTTACTATCTGAATTCCCTATCAGGTGAAAATTTCTGATTTTGGATTTTGCGCTCAAGTATCTCAAGAATTGCCTAAAAGAAAATCATTAGTTGGAACACCTTATTGGATGTCTCCTGAAGTGATTTCACGTTTACCATATGGGCCAGAAGTTGATATATGGTCGTTAGGTAATAATTAATTTTTATTATATTATTTTACCAACTATTTTTAATATCAACTTTCCTCTAGGTATTATGGTCATTGAAATGGTTGATGGCGAACCACCTTTCTTTAATGAACCACCTCTGCAAGCTATGCGAAGAATACGTGACATGCCTCCACCAAAACTTAAAAATTCAAATAAAGTAAGTTATTTTAAGTTAAATAATATTATGTATGTATATATGTGTATAATTTAATTTTGCTTCTYCAGATATCACCCAGACTTCAGGGATTCTTAGAAAGATTATTAGTCAGGGATCCAGCGCAAAGAGCAACTGCTGCTGAACTACTACAACATCCATTTTTAAGATTAGCTGGTCCTCCTTCACTACTAGTGCCATTAATACGAGGATCCAGACACAGTAACTGTTAAAAGGTAAACGACTCATTGTTCGTTTGTGCAATTTTTGTTATTTATTATTACTTTACTTTTTTAATTATATAACAATTTTTTTTCTTTACCTACCAAATTGTGTATTATTGAAGTTAATTATAAAATGTAACTTACATTTAAAATTAAATGCAATTCATTTTTGTATTTTTTATAATTGCATTTGTATGTGGTATTATGTAATAGTTATTAGACATCGAAAATCTTTTCACTTTTTTGTCACAAGCTCAATATGACTTACTTAATGTTGAATAATTAGTGCCTTAAATGTATTTTTTTAATATAAGGATTCATCAAATCAATTCTCCATTATTGTATATGAATAGATAACCAAATATGGAGTATAAGTAGGGTTCACATTAATTTTTTAAAGTGTACCTTCACTTTTAACCAAGTGCCTTCTACTTCGGGTAATAAATATTTTTATTTTTTTTTTGTACATATAACTTATCTAGTTATTATGTAGTTATAAATATTTAATCTCTATTGAACTGTTACCATGCTTATGTTTTTACAGTGTGGGTTTCAAATTAATAATGTTGACATTTATATGGATCATTAAACTTCTGATTTCACGGTTATTAACATACATATTATAAAAGTAACCACGCCTCTGTGTGTTATGCTCTTTTATTGTTAACATAACTATTAGGTTATTCATTGGCCATAATCACCGAGGATAACATTTAGTATTTTAAGKTTATTGTAAGGCTGTTTAATATTTAAGATTAGACATTTATAGAACTTAGTAAACATACACACGGTTCAATGTAATTCTTTAACATTCCAATTATTGTTTTTAATTAATTGTTTATTATTGACATCAGTATTTAAAATGATTGAATTAAATTTTTTTACCTTCTAGTCAGTAATTGATTTAGACAATCTTTTGAAATTTTTGTTGGTATTATCTATTTGACATTTTTATATTATTTTTTCCATATGAATTTTTGGTGTAAACAAAATATTCACTACCAAACACAACCTATTAGATCTCAGTGTGTACTGATCCTTTTTTTTTTTGCTGCTCCAATACAAACTTCATTACTACATACCTGTAATGTTAGATTTTTTTTTACTTATTATTAATGACAAAATTATGTATTTTATTTTGTTGTTATTTTCACTTGTTCAATATACAATTAACACAGATTAGTTACTAATGTACACTTTTTTAACTCTACTATGTGATATTCATTTTTATTGAAATACAATTCATATTGCGTTACCCGCCTTAAATCATCATATTTTCGATCAAAAACTTAGTGCTTGATATATTATTTTTTTATATTTGT